TTAGAACTGTATGTAATCAATAGAGAGGCAGAGGGGCTGTCCGTCCAGGGTGGGACAAAGAACAGGGCCTGTCCAATAGAGAGGATGCGAGGCAGCTGAACAAAGGAGAAAGGTGGTCAGGTGGAGTATTATTGAATAGCTGTGTCAGTCAATCATTTGATATGAACAATGTATCAATGGAAATGTGAAACTTGAAATGTGTTGCTGGTTGTGACAATCAGAAAATCATCACTTAGCTCTGCAGTTTTTGCTCTGAGGAGCATTTTAGTCTCTTTTAATTGTTTTGGTTTCTAGCCCTTGACTTCTGCTCTCATTCACCTCATCTGCAGACACACCAGGTTGCTGTATTCAGAATCACCAACTGTAGGCTACCTGGCTTTTATTTTAGATGGACCCTTAAAGGTCACATGTTATGCTTTTCCGGTTATTATCCGTCCCCTTGTGTGTTATGAAGGTTTTTATGCATGTAAACGGTGTGCAGAGTCAAAATCCTCAAAGTACACCCTGTAGGGAGTAAAACTCTAACACAACTCTACCTCCCCAAAACGCCTCGTTGGTGAAACGTCATCATCCATTTGATTCTTCCGGGTACATCATGATGTCATGTCGTACCCGGAACGAAATGGACCAATCCGTGGAGCCGCTACGTTACGTCCGCGGAGCCGTTACGTTAAGCCCCCGCTGATTGGTCCAAATTGACCAATCCACGGACTTCCTCACACACTCAGTGCAGGCAGCTCTGCTGATCTCTCCTCCCTGGCTGATAACAGACAGTTGGGATCGCAGCGAAATTCTCTCTGCAGACCCATTCTCTCTGCAGACCCATTCTCTCTGCAGACCCATTCTCACAGCGTTTATCAACCTTGTTCTTACTCAATATTAAGCCACACTTATTGTTTTTACTTCGGCTGTGACTTTGTGTGTGCTCAGGGTGAGTTTGGCTGTGTTTCGCTGTGTATCGCTAAACAAGGAAATCACACCTCCACGGAGCTCAGCGCGATTCACAACGTCCCGACTGGTCCCGACCAATCGGAGCACACTGGGCTCACAGGGAGGGGGGGTGGGGGGGGGGGGGGGGGGCAAGAGCTGCAACGAGCCGTTTAGTGGAGAGTGAATACTGCTGAATACACATACTTTACAGAGATGCTGTATGAGAAACCAATGTGAGTTTGGAAAATTGCACAGTATAAATCTATTCTAGTAGACCTCAACAATGGAATTATGATCAGTGGAAATGGCCATGACATGTGACCTTTAACTAAATAGTTAGTTCCAGACAAAAGGGGGGACTCTTATCTAGAAAGTTTACTTTTTATATAAAACGTTTTTTCTAATCTGAAAATGTTCCTTTCCTTTACGGGGGACCCTAAAAATAGAGTTCGACCCTTATCTAGAAAATTAACCTCAATCAAAAGTCTATTTTTTTTTTAAACTCGTCCCCTTTTTTAATTTGTTGCACTACTCAATACCATCATTGATTTCATGCTCATCTATACATTATTAATTTGTTTCTATGGAGTGACTTTAATCAACTATATTTATCAAAGAGTAAAGGGCACAAAGAGCAACATGAACTAAATCCAGGAAGAACAAATCAATCAAAACGAACAGTTCATTTGTGTTCAAATATCCAACTTGATTTACTTTGATGAAGATGATGATCACACTATGAATGTGCTTTACTAAAGCAACATATGTTATCATAATGATCACATGTGCAAGGTTAACAAAGAATATTTTTATAAAATAGCTTTATCAAGAGGATTATATTTTTCAGATCTGTCGGAAAAAGTAAAAAAAACAGTTCCAAACCTATAGAAAAAGTTAAAGAAAATCAGTGCTGGCAGTGTGTTGTTTTCACTTTGTGCCCTCTTGTGTCATGTGACTCTTATGCTCAGTCATGGCCAGAGCCTCGAATGCTTTTTCTGTAGCCCCGGACAATTCTCCCTCAATAATATAATACATTACAAGGTTGTGTACTTAGTCCCATGCTCTTCACACTCTTTACACTCGTTGTGCTCTTCACACTCTTTACCAACAACTGCACCCCCATCCACACCTCCAACTCCATAGTAAATGTGCAGACGACACCACAGTAGTCGGTCTTATTACAGACAATAATGAGACAGCCTACAGGCTCGAGGTGGAACATCTGACGGACTGGTGTAAGGAGCACAACCTTGTCCTTAACACCTCCAAAACTAAGGAGCTCAAGTCCATCTCCCCCTCCACATCCATGGAGAAGCAGTGGAGAGCGTGGAAGACCTATACGGTTCCTTGGAGTCAACATCTCCAATAAATTAACATGGACCTCAAACCTGGTGAAAAAGGCACAGCAGAGACTGTTTTTCCTGAGGAAACTGAGACAGGCCAGGCTTCCACAAAAACTGCTGGTAAACTTCTATCGGTCGACCATTGAAAGCACCCTGACCAGCTGCATAACTTTGTGGTACACCAGCTGCACAGCCGCAGAGCGGAAGGACCTGCAACGGGTGGTGAAGGCTGCTCAGCGCATCGTTGGGACTGAGCTGCCCAACCTTGACAACATCTACAGGAGTCGACTGCAGAAGAAAGCCAGCAGTATCATCAGAGACATCACACACCCAGGCCACTCACTGTTCGAAATAAAGTCACGCACCAACAGACTGAAGAACAGCTTCTTTCCCAGAGCTGTGGCCTCCATCACTCCCGTCCCATCCCTGTCCAACCACAAAACTCAACTTTGAACATGCACACATACAAACACACTACCTCCCATCAAAGACTGCAGCCAAAAATGCCATATGCTTTTCTAAAAATGTATTTTTAACATTCTGGTAAAGTGCATTTAAGTGATGACCCTGATTATTGCTACTATCTCTGCTTTATCACTGCCTTTATGGATGTGTTCTTATTTATGTACTGCAGTGAGAGATGCCAACTGAATTTCATTACACTGATGTGTGATGACAATAAAGATATTCTATTCTATTCTATTAACTGTGCTTTACCTGAACCTCATCATGACACTAGAGAGGACGGCAGGAGTGTAATTTCCCGTGTTCAGTGAATGCAACAGAGGCAAGACACCAGACCAATTACCAGAGAGTTGCATGGAAATAAACGTGTCTTATTGGTTGACAGGTACCTATCCTGTGACAAATGATTAAACTGTCAGTCGGACTCTGAGTTTTTGAAGATGGACATAAGAACATTTCTTAAAAAACACGACAATTCTCAAGTGGTGGCTCACACAACAACCCCAGAGCCACCACTTGCGGCAAGTAAAAGTAAATGTCAGTAAACTTCCAAGTTATGCGAACATGTAAGGCATAAATTACACGTTGTTGACATTACTTTGAATCGCGCGGGTAAGCTAAACCGTTAGCAAGTAGCTATAGCTAGCCATATATATTAATTAACACTTTGTCATACAATATAAATGTTGTGTTTGTTAGCGTTACCTGGTGATTTCAAAGAAAGCTCTCTGGGAAATGTTGACTTACTGTCAGTGTTCGACATGAAGCTAGAAGCTATACCTTACATTACACAGTCACAGGGGAGTGATTTGTAAAATATCCATAAAGAAAAAGTGTTTACAGTTCTGTTTCATATGCGTGTTGAGAGATGTATCAAATCTCTTAATGTTGCTCTCAAAGTGCACCAGATTGATGCTTTTAACTTTAAAAAATCTTCCCGGCGGAGCATGCCCCTGGACCCCCCTAGAGGAGGTGAAGACCCCCCCCTAGAGGAGGTTAGGTCCGCCCCCCACTTATAAAAATAGCACTTTACCCCTGCTTACAGACCTATATGTCGTGAGCTGATTATCGAGCCTTCATTGTAATAGTCGCAGGTGTGCTGTGTGCGTGTGGGGAGTGTTGCAGTAGAAATGTCCACAGAAATGCGATTTAAAATGCTCACAGGTTTTACACCTCTTATGAAATGTAGACTCCTTTTATTTCGGAGTTTATGTCCGAGACAACAGACTCACAGATCGTTGGCTACTGAGAGATATGCAAAATGTGGCTGTGGATTTTCAAAACAATATACAGTAAAACTATGGTCGCAGGCCCAAGTTGAACTCTCTGAGGTGTAAGCCATTTTTTCACGTTTTTGTAAAAATGCTATTAAAACATGAACCTTGGTGACCATCGGGCTGGCCTGCGTCTGCCTAATACAAAAACAAAAATAAATGTTGCTTTATGCAGCCTCTGATCATCAACAGACTTCATGCAATGCATCATAGATAATAATCTCTATCTCACTCCTAAAACATCTAAATCTACTTTCAGCATGGATAAATGTTCATAAAATACATCCATTGTTTGTTTTATTTGCTTCTTGAAATCCTAAAAAACACATCGTCTTTCTAGAACGGATTACAAATCGCCTGAAAATGGTACAAACAAGTGGCAACATGTGTGACGAAGGTGTTGCTGAAACTTAAGCTCGCTCCATTGCAGATATTCCCGCGAGAGTGCGGAACACTTACATTAATTAATTTGAAAGGGGTCGCCAGTCTCTTGCACTGTTATTTTGGGGGTCGCAGGCTGAAAAGTTTGGCAACCCCCGCTGCCTTAATGTACCTTAATGAACTGTGGGCTAAGCCCCGAATGTTTCCAGGTCCAGGAAACGCCCCATGTCATGAAATAAAGTTTTAGACGTAGACTCACCAATCTTTGTCCTCCACACTAAAACAAAGAAAAGCACAAGTCCCCACTCTAATAGCATATGTTTCCAGGAGCTGTACTTACACACTGCTGGCAAACCAACTGCTCAGTTAGAAAGGGGATGTAATGTGTTCCAGTGTCAGCAGAGGTAGAAACAGCTGCATCTAGTGGAGGGAAATCCATGTCCCTGCAAGGGAGTTCAGGACCTGAGGCTGTCAGTGTCATACATGTGTCATACACAAGCAAGTTCACTGCTATGTTCACTTTTCGTCTAGCAGCTTAGCTCAGAGAACATTCAGAGTAACTGATAAAGGTTTAGATTTCTTATACTGTTTCAAACAACTCTCAGTATGACTGCAAACAGTTTACTTTATTTGTCTTGATGCTTTCTGATGCCTTCCATTAAAACACAATGACATGTCACAAAACCACCAAACACTGCTCTGGAGTCAGAGTGGTACGTGCACACTGTGCTCCACTCAGTCCTATTTGGAGTTAAAGGTATCAATCTATTGGCAATACAATGTCAAAAACTAGACCTCTTTTTTGTTTGCTTTTTAACCAGTTTCAAACCACACTTTTTACACTTTTTACATCTAAAGTCATTCTTAACTATATTTTCCACTCGGATGAAGGATTTATACATTGGACAGCTTGATTTCGAGTTAGCAGTTAGCAGCAGCCGAACACTGACTTGAATTGAAGATGTTTTATTCAGTGTATCCCCCTGAACAATGAACAGATCTAAACCGTGAGAAGCTGACTGCAAAAACTAATAGTGGTAAAGACAACAATTCCCATGATGTCACACTTTTTCACAACCCAACAAACTATATCTTCTATTAATGTTTGATTCGGGGATCAAATCATATTGTCACCAATGAGTATCATTAAGAAATATAGCTGTTACAAAACTAGCTTAAGTTATATATATTTTTTAAAACACAACATAAAGAACTCTGATCATGTCAGTTAGCTCCTTCTAGAAAATATGTCGTTTTATTACAACAGATAATAACGTAAGATACGTAAGACCCATCCTCACTCTAAGACAGTTTGAATTCAGTGTGCATGAGATCACTGTCGGGCGCTATCCGTGCTGCTGACACCCACAAGTTCAAAGCAAACAGAAGGTTGTGTTGAAGCAAAGAGAACAGCCGGTGGTTTAGCTCCTCTCCTGCTGCCCGGGCGCAGGCTCATCAGCGCCCTGCTTGTTCTTCAAAGAGCGTCCCAGAAACAGCCAGTACTCTTTACGGATGGTGTCCGTCTCATGGGCCAAAAGATGACAAATCTAAAAAGGGGGACAACAATCACAGGAAGGGTCAAAGCACCACAATAATGGATATATCTCAGTTTGTTTGTCATTCAAAATCCTCCTGATCTCTCACAGGTAACATTTTAAAAGTGCTGCAGTCATGACTTATTTGTGTTGGCCAAAACACTCATGGGGTCTTTTGAATTTGATTTTCAATATTGCAAGAAATAACACGTTCATTTTTACAAATAAACCCAAACCTCTGATTTGTTAAGCCTGGAGTGCCCCTCGTGTTCGCGCACTTCAAATTAAATACACTGTAGTTTGCCATATACTCAGTGTCCTAAGAGTTTTAGTTTTTTAGCCTTTAAGGTTATTTGTATAATTACATTTACATTTGTTAAAAATACTTTTAATGCTAAATTCTTTCTTTTTTATCCTTATATATTTATTTATTTTACCTAATTTGCAACTTGTTTTTTTAGATTGTTTATGTTCGCACCACCAGATACCAAAGCAAATTCCTTGTGTGAGTAAACGTACCTGGCAACAAACTGGATTCTGATTCTTAAGGCTCTTCTAAGGCCATTTGTTAGCAACACCCTTTTTCAAGACTCATAAAAGCTACACACTTACGAGTTGGCTACTTACTGACATTTCTTATGTCACAAAATACATCTAAGATGACATCATTCTAGGTATTCATTCAAACCCCAGTGACCTTGAGACAAGGGACTGGAATGACAAAAATGCAGACTCATTTCCGAGGTTCAGGACTTCCTCCTTCAGCGCTCGATACTCAGTTACAATGATTTGTAAGTTTATATTTCCACTCACTTCAAGAGCCTTTTCTAAAGTTTCCTTTAGTTCCTCGTCCGACTTGTTCTCTTCCTGACTGCTGTTCTCCAAGGCGTCCTCGTAGCAGTCGAACAGGAAAGCCAGCAGATAGGGGGAGCAGTGCGTCTCCTTCAGCCGGAGGACCCTCTCCAGCAGGCCCGGCACCGACGACAGACCCTGGTCCTGCAGCATCCTTGAGGAGTCAAAAAAGAAAAACTGTCAATGAGCTTTTTTTTGTTTTTTCAAAAAGGAGCAGCTCTACTCCTCTCATTGTACCTGTAGAAGGACAATAAAGGATTCTATTCAGATTATTCTTTTATTTTTTCGAGCCTTTATTGGAGATTTGTAGAGTTGATCGTGTTTCTCGTGCAACTTCAAGAAACTGGCGTAAGCTTCAGTAAAATGCCTCTCCGACGTTTTCCCCACACCTAAAGAGTGCAGATTCTGTTAGTCTTTGACCGGGTGTGTTGCATCGCTGAGGCTTACTGATGTCCGCTGGTCTCCAGTCAGTGAATGCAGGTAGCATGTGCAGCTTACTTTGCCTTTTCACTGCCATGCATGTCATGGTATAAAAAGTTGGGGTCAAACTTCGTAATGAGATTCATTTAAGATGAATTTCTGGCTGCCAGATGAAGTGTTAACGCTTTAACCCTGTCATATCTCGTACATTTCTGAATTAGGAATGGCAAATTGATATATCAATGATTTCTCCTGAAGAACTTCTTGGTCAGTCAAAGCAAGTGAAAGAAGACAAAGTCATGTTTTGCTGTTTGAAAAAAATAATTCTGATATGCAACAGCTTACCCTTTTAAATAGTTCCATGCACTCTCATTGTGTGGAGCCTTCTTGATCTGGGTCAGACAATACCTTTCAGATAGAGAGGGAAATCAGTCAAATGCATGCAACAGACAACGTAAAGCGCTTGCTGAAGCAGAAACAATGTTGGGTTGTTTTGGGAAGTAAATACTGGAAAATAAGCTTAACAGAGTGACTTTAAGGTGTGAAGCCAACAACGTACCATCCAACTTCAAAAGGTACAAATGAACTGTGTGTCCAAGTTGTCCAGACATGAAGAGAATACTCACTGAATCTCTCTCTCCACTAATGCAGGTTCAGAGAATCCTGTAGTGTGAGAAATAACAAAATGCCTCTGGTTCCATGCAGAGTTATTCCTCACATCTTCTTCCAGAAGAGTCTCCACAAACTCCAGCTCACTGTCCCACAGTTTGTACTCCTGCAGGTAAACAAGGACAGTGTTGTTGTTGGCAACGTACTAGTATCATGTACTGACCACAGATGGACTTAACCACACAAATAAGAAAGCATTCATTCTGGCGAGTTCACTGTGAGCAGAACATTGGATTTCTGTCATTTTCTCATCCAAACTCAAAGAATGCTCAAACTCCTACCTGGATGACCCACTGTCTGTGCTGCCAGGCGTGGTAGTTTTTGGCATCTTGGCTGAGAATATCTGCAATGAACTCCAATTCCTCTGAGGGGTCCTTCAGCCACTCCACCACCATACGTCTGTGATGCCTGGAGGAGGAGGTTAGGAAGCTAGTGTCATAGTGCTGCAGTGAGTCAGCATTTGTGCACTTCTTGTCTCCAAGTTAATGGCTTTTTGGTTAGATTTGACTATGACATAAAACCTGTCAATAAATTCACCACTTGTGAATTTGTTATCTTTTAAATGTCTTGTGGCTAAAATTACTCTTCCAAACGCCACCTTTAGCTTAGCGACGTGAGTTATGCGATCATTATGTAGTTCATTTATAGCCCAACGTCCGCCTCTTACTTCTGGCGATAGCATGTATGCTTCAAAAACCCTAAACGTGGTGTTGTGAAGGACTCTCTCTGGAGGGAACTTGGGGATTCTAGCCTTTGCAGACCATTTACATGCACAGAAACCTATAACACACTACAGGGAAGGGACATCTCCAAATAGCATAATAGGGCCTCTTTAACAAAACATATAACTTGGCAAAAACAGCCCTTTGCTAACAAATACTTTACTTATATTAATAGACCTGGTGATAAAGATTTCCATAAGTAATGCAGGGTTCTTTAAAAAAACAGCTACCGACACATGTGACCTGAAATGAATTTGACAGCACTCACCAGACTTGATAGTTTTTGGGTTGCTCCTCAATGATGGCTGTAATGTACCTCATCTCCTCCCTCAGGTCCTTTGTTAAGGCCTGCAGCAGCACGCGCCTGTAGTGCCTGAACACACCAACACAAGGACTGTCAATACATTTTCTTTCAGAAGGTGAAGAAGTGTAAAGGAATTGAGTAGTTGACAACTCATGAGTGTGATCTTGTCAAGGTATGGCTCTATCCAACACAACATGAGATCCAAAGATGAAATGTTTTACTAACTGACTGTGGAGGTGCAGCCCAGTACCTTGGATGCTGATTGGCTACTGGTTACACAAGCCAAAAAAACGTTATGACATCATAAAGTGGCCAAAATCTGATCAGCTCTTTTTCAGACAGGTTTTTATAGAAATGGATCAGGAGAAAAAGAGAGAATCTTTGTTCCTGATCCTTTCAGAATCTCTTTCCACACAGGGGACACATGTGTTGTTTCACTGTGGTATGAAAAAGAGACCCTACTTAATAGTGAACATCAGTTTTCCATATTGCAAACATGCAGCCTGCTTACCAAACGGTGTAATTGGCAGCATTTAGCTCGATCGCTTCTGCTGTCAAAGCGAAAGCCCGGTCGCTTCTTTCATCATTCTTCAAGAGTGCACGGAAATAGTCAAACACATCTGAGACTGTTGGAAGAAATATTAACACATTTGGTATAAACATCAACAAAGTTCTGACTCCAACTACTACTGAATATTGTCTGGTCTCATGTCTGTGAGACTTTGGTAAAATCATTGTTGTGTTTATAATTCAGCTATTACAAATGTATGAAGTTTACAGGCAGTACATTGTAAATTAAACATCGCTTCCTTTAATTTTGATGTGATTATCTCTTAATAACAATCTTACACTTTTCAGAGTAGGCGATCTTCACGACAGGATTGGGTCCATCGTCCTGAGGGACTGGCTCCAGGTCAGCCCACTCCTTTCTGTCCCTGAGAGACAAAACACGGGGGTGGCGGGTTTAATGGCTGTCACCTATTATTCTGAATGAAGGAAGCTAATGCAGCTAGCACTACTTACAGTTCCTACTGCTTTGTTTAACAAACACAATACACGTTTTTATTCGTAGATATATAATTAAAATAAACGTATTTCTGTATTGGACCGTTTAGTTGTGCCCTGGTTAACTTTAGCTTCTTAAAACGTCCTACTTCGCAGGGGTGTGGCGGACTAACATAAAGCAGCAGTGAATTACCACAACATTATACCAACATAGGGATAATAGGGTTTGCTACCACACCCAATGGCACTGCTGGTAGCCTTATAATAACAACAAAGCAAAAACAAACAAACAAACATTAAAGTAGAAGTTATCAAACGTTACTGCGTTTAACTAAAGTTAATGAATAAGTGGTTACCGTTAGAGCAGCTATCAAGCTAGCATACAGAATAGGCATGCTAAGTGATAAACAGACATTACCTGTAAAACATATATCGGGTCGGGTCAAAATAATCATCTTCGAGGTTGTCTTCAGCCTCCACATCAAACTGTTTGTCTTCTTTCAGCTCCACAGACTCATTTGAAAGGGCTTCAGCACCTGACATGATAACTGTGTAGCCTGATCGCTCCTGTAGTCCGCGAGGAAGGAAGAAAACGTCATATCCGGTGTAGCAGAGTTGCCTTCACGTACTGCGGGAACTAATCATTTCTACCAAACATTGCTCTGTTTGATTAAAATATGGTTCAATTGAAAATCTACCCCGAAAGAAACTGTAAAACATTAAGGTATCGTGTACAAATAAAACACTCACTTTTGTCTGTCAATGTAATTATACAGTAATTTGCAATCCCGTAAGCACTGATATTTACTGACACACACGCTGCTGAGATGTGACGTATAAGGAACAGAAAAGTTGAGAATGATTCCGATCAACGTCCCAAGCTGTATGCTTTCACACATATTGTGCTTTTATTGTTTGTATGCATCTGTTCCAATTACTAAATCCGAGTGTAGATGGTACTTATTTGAGTTATTTCTACTCTTTAGCTCCATCATATGGCAACATTTAGTTCTTATATTTGGGAGAAATGCAGACATGCATTAGGAAATATAAATATTGTTAACAGTCATACATCAATTAATTACCATTTGATATCTAAAGTATAGATTATATGCAAATCACATTTCAGTTGAATCATTTTCTACTTCATCCACGTTGTGGACTTTTGCTTCAACCTTTAATTGAAACAGCATCAGTGACACATTTCTTAAGGTCAAGCTGAACTTTATTTTTCATCAACGACTCTGGACATTATAAAAATAAATAGATGATTCAGTCAGTGGATCGTAATACAAATTGTTATCAAAATTATGTACCAGCCAGGATGAAGAATTAAACACATGCATAATCACCATTCCATCAACGTAACATGTTCTGAACACTTGTCACCTTTATTTGCAATTAACAAGATCTGTTTTGCAACAGAACCTGTTGACGGAATATAAAATCACCATTCAATTTAGACAGCTATGCAGGTTGAATATGCTTCTCTCTGACATATTATCAATGATGGCTTGACCCAAAGCGAGTTCATTGACTGTCTTCTTGATCCAATCCGTGTTTCTCGATGTAGCGTCTGGATGAGGAAAAACAGATATAACAGTCAGTGCTTCTTTTACTTACATATGCCTGGTATATATTACAATGTGGAACAAACACAACTTTACAGACAGTGCAGCTGCACATCTAAATTATATTTGTCCCAAAGTAATAGTTGGTTATACTCAATAGAGAAAAAGTGTGCTTCAGAGTGTGCTTTTGACTATTACAGTTTATCACTACAATTCACCTATTTCACAGTAACCAGTTATTGGACCCATTGTTCACAAATATTGATACATTGCAGCTTTTAAGTAAAACTAAGTATTTGCACGCATTGTCACTTTCAAAATGGCGACACATTTTCTGGAATATGCTCAGCGTAATGCCAGAGAGAGTATAGTAAGGAGGGTTGGTCAGTCCTACATTTCTCTTGATTTGTAATCCTTCACTGACTTTTCAGAATACATCTTAAATGACACAAAAAAAGGAATTCAAAGTAAATCTCAAATCAAATGAATATTGTGCATAGTGATAGCTTAATTTAGAGGTGTCTTTATAACATGAACCGAATAGACTATTCCAGAATGTATTACTTAAAGGTGGGGTAGGTAAGTTTCAGAAACCGGCTCGAGATACACTTTTTGTTATATTCCATGGAATGCTCTTAACATCCCGATAGCAATGAATATCTTAAGTGCTTTGACAATAAATCCATAAAAAAATGTCATCTGTGGAAGCCGTGGTACTGTAAAAAGTACAACCAATCCATTTAGCCGGGCCAGCTAAACGGATTAGATTGCCGCCCTGTCTGTCAGCCTTCCATCTCGTGCACGCACAAATGTATCTCGTGCCCTCATTGGGCGTGCATTGTGCGTTCATGTATGTTGGAGGAGGTGCTCTGTAAGGAAGTCTGAAGGAAGGGGCGGATTCTTTTCGGCTGTGTACTTTCAAATGTTAGTGCACTCGAGCCGGTTTCTGAAACTTACCTACCCCACCTTTAAACAATAGTTGAGGGTATAATGGAAACTTTTACTCCACCTTTCTGCCCAAACAACAACAATTAACAGACATTCTGCTCGTCTTGCTTAAAATACAATATTCTCCAAGTGTGATGTAACTATGTGACACTGCTTATGGCAGGAATATCTCACCTTCTTGCAAAATTATACAGTGCTTCTTTTCTCTCTTGGAGAGACAAATGTCTGTCAACTGGGTATCTCCCGAAACATTTGGCAGCAGGCTGTGGACGAAAAGAGAACATTATTATTATTATTTCTTAATAATAAGAAAAAAACAGTTAGATGGATTGTATTTACTGGCAAATAAAATAAAATAGGACTTGCACAAGAAAGATTGTTGACCTAACTGTAAATTGTAAATGTATTTAAAGAGGCCCTTTTCTGCTTTTTGGGGATCTCTCATGAGGGAGTTTCTCTCTAACAAATCATTCTGCAGAGCCCTGACAAACCTTTATGGTGGGGGCAGGGACAGAGGAATAGGAGTTGTTCATCGAAGACCCAAACGTTGACGTCCCGGTTGCTTCCATCGGACCTTCCTCCTTGCTCTCCAGCAGATTAGTTATGGTGGTGTCCACACAATTGGTTTCAGCTGAACACAATCAAAAGACAACTGTAAGTTCACAGATATCCAAACCCTGCTCAAGTGTATGAAGAATGTGTTACAAATGTAAAGGAAGGATGAAGCAGAGTTAGCGGCCCTACCTAAGTCCTTTGCGATGACATTCAGCGGGACGTGAGGCAGCACGTCCTGCACCTGTTGGGCCATCTTAGCAATCCTATGATCATCCGTACCCAAACTCTGGACCATGAATCCAAGGCCGATAGATGCTGGTCTGGCACCTAGGGGAAGGGAGAAGAACGGCATTGTATGATATTTGTTATTTATATTTTATTTCTTTTTTAAATGGAGCTGTTTTCTCCTGGGACGAATCAAATATTTTCATTTTGATCCTTTAGATTTTGTAATAGACTTACTTGTAGATGCTTGTGATACGGTGTGTCTTTTGGTCCGTTTGATGTGCTCTGCTTTATCGGCTTTAGTGATCTTAGTGGAGACCAGGCCCAGTTCCCCAGCCAGGAGCTGAAAGACAAACCGACACACCTTTAGTTCACAGCACAAAGGCAAACTAGAATAACTGCTTTGCGACTGAAGCTTCGCCAACCAGCCAAGTGGCCGATTACATCCGGTAATCCAAAATGCTTTCACTTCATCATTTTATCATATTATTAGACATTGGAGTTAAATGTTCCGTTTGTGCCCAATTTTAAGAATGTCCTGATATATTGCAATAATAAGTATGTGAGACACTAACAAACAGAAAACATATTTTAATAACACTGAAGAGTATAACTTTAGTACTCTGTAAATGCTAAGGAATAAACTGGTTTTCATCTTTAATATTTTAATAATATTTAAACACCACTTTTTATAATGTAATATATACATTTTTACATATTTATTAGTGCTTAATATTATAGTACAAAAGCTTCTGTAAAAGTTCTTATGCCTATATAATATTTTAATTCTGTTTTATTTAATATTCTTAAAGCACATGTTTACGTCATATCGGACACAAATCTGGATCAGCTCCGCTGTACCCCCGTTTTTAGAGATTTGGGCACGGAGGAAAAGAGAGAGGGTTTTGTTTTCTGACACGTTGTGAGTTCCCTGACACACCGGGGACACATCTTTATGTATGGAAGACGTACAAATGTGCATTTTGCAAGATAGGAGACCTTTAAAAAAAGAGTCTGATCAAAAAACATAGAGGGGAAAAATCATAAAGAAATTATAATGGTGCCTTCTTTTTTTGTCTTATTAAAGCAAACATCTTTGAGGTTCACCAAAGAGGGACCAAGTGTAACTTTTGATTTGTTTATATTGTTAGAAAAATTAAAGCTTTAACAAATCCACTCAACCGGCAAACATTGGTTTTACCTCCTGGACTTTGTTGGCAAACTCCTGTGTGGACTCGCCATCTTGTCTGGATACTGTCGGGAGCCAGCTGGGAAGAAAATGAACACAAAGAAACAACAACGTTTGAAGTACAAGAACTATTATTGCAGCAGAAATATTCAAAATAGTTTGAAACTCAAAGCAAAAAGCAAACATTTTAGTTTTAAAATATTGAGTGATTTTTCAACACAAAACTACCTCAATGTATAAGAAAACAAATCATTTTTGTCATTGATCTTTTGGCTTCAATATCTGGATTCCACTTTGAAAAAGCAATTGCTGATAGAAGTAATGATACAAATGGTTTAGTACCTTACATGATACACTGTACATGGAGCAAAAAATGTCCATAAGAGCTCCTTCATCCAGCTCGAGTCAGGTGTGCTCTGTGAACAGACAAAACACAACAAAGTCAATCACATGGATGTATTACAGTGTCATGGGAAAGTCATAGCTGTGTCAGTGTCCAGGTGCCCCAGACAATCCTGCAGCTATTTAAAAATATCTGCAGCACACATCAACATAGGGGTGGGCGATATGACGATATATATCGTCGAGACGATATTAGGTCTCCACGATATGCCTTTTCAGAGATATCATATCTATCGTGATACAGAGAGTCACTCAGTCATAGAATGTGAGTGCTGCGAGTGCACCAGGGTAGGATTTTCACGGCGGCCATGCCGTCATTGCCCCTCGGTCTGGCCGCGAAGCCCCGAAAATAATTGAACATCCTACGGCCACCATGGCCTGCGTGCCCCTGATACTGCCAACATCTCGAAGTTGCTTTAAAAGCGTCAGAACAGTGGTTTCTGAACTGCATTATGCTGCGTTCACAACGGACGCGATGCGAATATTCTCATCGCTCTAACCGCTGGAGTTTCACCGCGGCTGTCAGCTGTGTTTACTCCTGTCATTCAAACAGGACGCGCTGGAGAGGGGGCGGGGCTTATATCCATGTAAATACTGTGGTGGAAACCAACTACGACAAAATTAACCTATTTTATCGTGATTTAATTGTAATACACGTTTCAAAATGATGCCGAAGTAACTAAATACTGATAACGGTTAGTCAAAACCAAGCTGTCT